ACCTTCGCGACTCTTTTTGTATACTCGGGTTGTGCCCCGGCTACGGACCAGTCAAGTAGGCGTCCACCTTAGCAAAAGGTTGGGAGTGCACCATAGGGCTTTCCATTGGTCCACGCAGGCTCGACGCCTTGCTGTACAGCAGAGCACTACCGGCCTGAGGCCGTGGTAGTCGCCAGGCTCGCCCTGGGACGTGGAGTCAGAGGAAGTGGTGTTGTCTTTTCTGCTGCGCACCAGGGGCCACTTAGTCCCGTTATGGGTCAGGTGCAAGCTGCTGCCACTGACAAACAGAAGGGCAAAGTGAGGAAAGGAAGAAAAGAAGGGGAGAAAAAGGTGAAAAGAAAATCAAGCGTTAGATCTGAACCCACACATCAGTCCGAGAAAAACCGGTGGCTTCAGACTACTGCGATGTTATAATTCCCATACTTTTCTTGATTTTATTATTATTATTATTATTACTATCTTTTTTTTTAGTTACTAAGTTTCCTTCAGGCCTTTTAGGCCTGTCACTTCACAGGAAGGCCAACGGTTCGAATTTCGAGCGTGGTTGTGGTCTGTGGCCTAGACTGGCCCGACCTTTCACTTAGCGCCAATGGCTGAAAAGTTCGATCAAGCGTGGTACGGGGACCCCAAAAGAGGGGCAACCCGCGGCCGCATTGGTAGGAGGCTTATCACCCCCCAAGTGGAGAGTCATAAGCCCCCTCCTTGCCATCGGACACAGGTACCCGGTGGCTATAATCCGACGTTTCCTTTTTAGATCGGAAGGGTTGCCGGTCAGTGTCCCATTATGGGACCCCTGCATCGGTGGCGGTCACTTCGCGAGGAACGTCGGCGCTATGACCGTTGATGTCCTACCTCCCGATTTTCCTTTCTTTATTTTGTTTTCTTTCACTAATTTGTGAGTTATAAAATTAATGGAAAATGAAATTCTGGAGTTTTATTTGCAGTTCCCCCTATTCAGAGCACAGGGATCGCGATAAGTGGCAACCCTATAAAGAGCGAGGGTGGGTTTGTCATTTAAGTCGCGTCCTACTCTGAGCTCGAGCGATCTCGGTGCGCCGAGTACTAGTGAGTCCGAAGGAGAGAGCGTTGGCTAGTGTGGTGAGTGCGGGAGATCGTCTGAGTGCCCGCCCTTGTGCTATGAGTTTCTGGGTACGGCTATCCGGGAGCCAGTAGCCTGGTATCGGCCAATGCTTTCGAAAAGACAGCCATGGTGCGAAGCAGCGGGTTGTATGGCTATAGGCCGAGATGCATCTAGTCCCTCTGGAGATGGGAGCGGATGTCGGGAGATGGGCCTACAGTAACAGCCGTGCTGGACTACAGCTACGGCAGGCAGGAGGCGAAGCTGAGGATAAACGTAGAGGGAGGAAAAGAGGAGGAGATGAGGGCGGACCCAGACCTGCAAATGGCAATTACGGAGGCAAAGGACCGCGCCGAGAGACGATGCAGACGAGACGGGGTCACAGACGAGATCAAGGTGAAGATCACTTACCTGGAGGAGGAGACATCTACGAACACTGCTGAATGTGAGCAACAGCATCTCGACCGCGACACAGAAGCGGAGAGCGACGCTAGCGACCTAGGGTCCGCGACCCAGTCCTGGCACGGACTGGACCAGTGGCGGCGGGACCATTCGCCCGCTGAGCTTGTGGAGGACGAGCTCGAGGTCAGCTCACGATAGAGAAGGCCTTGAGGCCAACTCGACTCAGCGAAGGGACTGAGGCCGCGCGGCGGTTGGAGAGGACCAGATCTACTAGGAGAAGGGACGCGAGCGATCAAAACAGAAGAGGAGGAGAATGAGAGAGAACACAAAAAAAAAAGTTAGACAAGGGAATAAGGTTGATGTCACCTACCTGACGAGGGCAGTGTGTCGGGGATCCTGGGACGGAGTGGATGCATGAGGACGTGTGGTGGTACACGGAGCCACTAGAGTTGATGTCGGCCACTGTTGCAGGAATCTGGTCACGAGAAAAGACAGTCGCCAGTCTGTGACTAGCTCGGAGCACTGACGAGACGAGGGGTCTTAGCAAATTCATCAAACATACGGGCCGGCCTCCCACCTGGGTGGGAGGTCCCACGGTGCACGCACTGGCCAGTTAGTAAGTGATCAGCAACACACCATGCTATTCCCCGCGGTAGCAGAGAACATCGTATACTTTGCAATCTTGAGCCCATCTTGGTCACGGCTGCGGTGGGTGTGAGAGGTGTTGTGTGAGGGCAATGATGGTCTGCAAGAGGGCAGGAGAGGAGAACTTTCAGAGAGAGAGGGGGCGGTGATCCATAGTCAATCAGGGTTTGGGGATGAGCCAACACTCTTTTGCTGTGCACGAGGGGTAGTGATAGGGGAGGAAAAGCGATTGCACTGTCCCGCTCGACGGTGTACAGAGACGGGTTAACCCTTTGTTCTTTAATACCAACTAGCCGCATTCGAGCAGACTTAGCGGATTGTTGAGGGGGATTGTGAGGGGGGGTGAAACCCTCTGTTGTCGTTTATGCAACGACACCCTTAGCTTGAGTCTGTTGCAAGTCGCTCCTCACCGTCCTGAAGGGGCGTTGCTTGCCGTGAGCCTACGTGGTTGACGTCACTCACTGCGGGAGAAAAGAGAGAGTAAAGGCGATGTAAGAGAGAGAGAGGGCGGGGAGTAACAGAGAGAAAGAGAGGTCGGCAAGACGCGAGTTCGTTGCAAAGGTTGACATTACCCGCGTGGATCCAAGGTGACAGTGTCGAATGCAGCGAGAACTACGCGTTGTCTGTTCGCATCAAGAACGAACAAGTAAGATTGAACTTGGCAGGAGCACGCGTAGGTAAATACCAGTACATGCATGCATTTGAGGATGAGACACAAGTAAGATGAGCGAAAGTGTGAGGTACGGACGATGCTCGAGAACTGAGCATGCCTCTCGGAGTACGCACGTAATCATTACAAGGAAAGAGGGGAGGGATGATGCTCAACGGTCGACTCGCGTACTACCGTCTGAGGAAAAGGGGCGCGGTTGTAGTCGTCGCCTCGACAAAGAGAATGGACAAAGAGACTTTGTAACCATAAAGAGAGAGAGAGAAAGTGAGTCTCGTGAGAAGCGTGTGGAAGGCTGTGTTAGCAGTCTGGGATCGGATCACAATAGTAGCCCAGGGTGGGGTGAGAATGGTATAATAATTAGTGGGTAAGTTCTTGGTAACGACAATATTGGTTTCGTTCTGACTTACCTCGGGTACCAAGTTCCCTGAATGACGCGTAGCGGACATGCAACCTTTCCACCTCCATAAGGGCTATACGCAAGAAGAGCCTCGCGCTAGTCACACTTCCTGTCAATTGTACGGAAAACTTGGGGTCATTTACGCCATGTTACTATCACTTCTCCCCCTCCGCTCGTGCTGGTCCATCGTGGACACCCCCCTTGAACCATCTGTGGTTCGACGGAGTGAGGATTGTCAAGAGAGATGGGCTGAGTCTTCAGACGCTACCAGTACTGCGGACAATCGTTTTTTGAAACGTATATGCCAGGTGGCTAGTATTAGTCTGGCGGTAGTCGAAATGTAACAGGGTGTGGCAGAGTGACACGAAGCGGGGGAAGGAAGAAGGAGAGACTGGTTTAATGAGATAATAATGGATGGATAACGGTCGAGACAGACAAGATTACGATCACTGAACGCTAAGTTTTCTTCTCCAAAATCTCCTCTTCCCATCAAGCATTCCCTGTTCAATGGGAAAAAGGGTAAATGTAAAGAGAAAAAATGCTTACCTTTTGATTAAGTTTTTGCTTGATGGAGAAACAGTTCATAAAACATAAAATGAACACGTAGTTTCAGTTAAATAGAATGGGAGGCACGTTGAAAGTCGTATGGGTAAAGCGTCTTTCCATGCTCGCCGCCTTTACCCTTGCGTTGAGATTTGAGAAATGACAAACGCTGCTTTCGACAACTGTTCAAGCCTCGTTGATTAATTTTGCTCATTTGGTTTGTAGTGGGGTAAGGTGGGACAGAAGCGAAAGGAAACGCCAATTTAAGGGAGTGAACGGACTCCATGAAAAACTTTGTGCGACAGTTGAAGGAGTGACGTAAATAAGGAAAGTGAGATCCTGATTAGGGACTAGGCCTGCATTAAAACTCGTTTTCATCACTCTATCATCCTTTGTGGTTTGTTTAGTGCAGAGAATTTGCACCAAGTGCAGGAACTGAGTAAAAGAATGTTAGTATCAGATGGTGTGAAACCCTGGGGTGAGGTTTATACCGATCTCAACAGCTGTAATTCGAACATTAAAGGGGGTCTGACTCAAAATGTAACCACTTGTATAAAATCAGGTTGATCCTAAAACCTTACGAGACTTACCATTCCGTCCACTTATTTATTTATTGTGAATTATTATCAAGATCTGCATGGATTGCATAACTGAACCTCTAATCGCGCTCAACACGGTACACGGTGATGCTCACGCCACTCGCAAGTGGGAACCACCCATGCCATGCTTAAATTCATGGGGCCTTTTCGATCGGGACTCACCGCTGGAGACAACCTGTGCATTACGTGAACAGGGTCTGTGTCGAGAGGCTAAGCTTGTACCGTGTGCGTGTTTAGAAACGAGGCTGGTGTCACGACCGCAAACAGGAAGTGGCCAGTAAGGACCTACTGCATGACAACGCATCCGGGAACGTGCGAAGTCATTGTTCGGTGCCCCTAGCAAATGAACGTCGATCACACTCCCTGTTGAGTATCAGATGAATGAAACAAAAAAAGATAGGCCCCTGTTAAGATAATTGAAACCACCTATTGTTATTAGGTGATGGGCACTCGATTGACCCTCAGTTGGGGTTTTCGGGGTGGACTGGGCGGTCTAGCTCGGAGTGAATGTCGGCATGAGTAAGCCTTGAGTAGTACACGACAAGAGTTCCCGTCACGTCTCCCCATCCTCTCTGGTGACTGACGAGAGGCGAGCTGGGTTAAAACCTCTGGGGAAAAAGGGGGGGGGATTCTTAGTTGTGCGCCGTCAACAGAGAATTTAGGTGAGTGTGCCTATACCTCTCTGGCCAACTCGTCTCCTAGGTGGCCACAGTGGGACTCTACGAGCAGTAGGGATGGCAAAAGGGGGAAAACACAGTCAAATGCACCACCAGTGATCAACGATCAGATAGCTCAACAATCGTCAACATACTTTTCGGAACAGTCGGACAAGCTAAACAAAAACATTTAGGGGCTGGCCAGAAGATCACTCTTTATTTGAGCACAATTTCAGTTCGCTTCCTGACTCGTGAAGTTGCCTCGACTAAGCTCAATCAGACTTTATTTGAAAGTGTTTTCTTGGTAATGGTGCATTGGTGCGATGGGGTTTTGCAGAACGATGGTGAGAGGGAATACACTAATGATCTCCTGTGCATTTCATTGGGACAAAACTGAAGCATGGGAAAATCTCGCCATCATAGATGCTCGACGTTGGGTTAAAGTCATGAGGGAACGGGCACTAGAGTAAGTGAAAGAACAAAAGTTTATTGAGTATACTATTTACTTTCATGAGTTGACCAGTAAATTGCACAGTACCTTTTCATCTATTGAGACAGTCGGACGAGAAAGAAGAACTGTTAGTGATTAGCAGTGAGGGTGAGAACAGAGAAGAGATAAAGTTGTCGGGGGTGCCACGTGTGACAGAAAAGAGGGGAACCGACTAAGCAGGGACGTGTGGCAGCTTTCGGGAACCGGGCATCATCCAGTCAAACATTCAATTAGTCTGCAGACACCATCTAATCAGGCATTCATGTAATATTCAAGCATCAATCAATCAAGTTTTCGGTCAGTACCTCCGCCACATTTGTGTCAGTACCCAATCAATACTTAATCAACACTTGGTTGTCGTAGCTACTTGGAGCCCCCGATCAGAGCTAGTCAATGTTCAGCTGCATGATTCAATTGAGGGGTTGAATCAAGGTCAGTCACTTTTATCTACATTCGTGATCAGAATTAGTCAGGCAGTACTCTTGCCAGAAGACACAGACCAATCAACACACCTACTTCAGCCCATGAGTACAGTACAGTCATCTTCAGTCCCGGAGACTGTTCTTGCCCGTCTCAACAGTATTGCGTCTAGAGACGCTTTCCAGTACCAGTACGTCAGTGCGGTGGGTTTCAAACGGGAGGATCTGTCAATCTTCGTTGTTCTTACCGTCTTTGCAGAACGAACCATTCATGACTTGAGGATATACCTAAAGAAAGACAACGAAATTTATGAGCACTTTGATTAAGTTTGGATCCTGACTTCAAGATACCTCGAAGAAAGAGGGAGAGAGTTTGGCGAGAGTGGTGCCAAGATAATTCATAGTTTTGGACCCAAGCTCTGCACCGACTACCCAAGGTCACATGTCCCTTCTCTTCGCATAGACGGTTCCTTCTGGAGTGACCTGGTCGACCTAGCGAAGAGGTACATCTCACCAGTACAGATTGACTATGGGGCAGTGACAGAACCTTCAGAGTTTCAACATCTCATACAACGGATTTTCTCTCGGCTCTATCTTCCTACCCTATGGGAGGAGTTTTGTGCAATGGTTGACTTTCGGGTCATGAGTCTTGGATGAAAATGCTCAGAACTAGTAGGCTTCAGGTGGCTCTACATCGAGAGACCACAACCTCAAAGGGTACGGAGACTTGGCCGGAAGCACAAGAGACATGCAGCAAAATAAAAAATTGAGTGTAAGATTCAGAAGATGAGTGAGAACTCTTGACTAGTGCTGGTTGTGCTCTATACATGTGTACTTTCTGAGACTATTATGAGTTTTCATTCTTCCCTTATTTGCCCTTGCAATTGCTCGAGTCAGTCAGTCCTGTATTTTCGGTATTGCTTTGCTTGATGATGGGAAAGACCCCCTTTCACGACAGGCGGTGGTCCCTTACGTTCACTAATAATTCTGTCACAGTTCTCAAACTTAGTAAATTGGCAAACTGATGCATGCATGACATATCAGCATTTTTTTATTATTATTTGCATGATTCTTTGTTGTTCCGAATCAAAATAAAAGATTCCTAAGACCAGGGACCGGCGAAGACCGTAAATGAAGGGTCTCGCTCGAAGCCGGACGCACACAATAGAAAGGGATTTGCTTTAATTAATTTATTTGATTTATTGCAAAGTCGACCAAATCCTGCGTGATAGCATGTCGGGTTTTTGGTTGTCTGAAGAGGCCTCACTGGAAAAAGTGCGACAAAAATGGCGGCGTTGCCGGGGACATGAAAAATTTTCGTGTTCGGAACGAGCCTGGGTTAGCAAACAACTTTGAGTTTTGATTAGGCCTTGAGAACTGTTGTTATTTTTCGAAAATTTCAGACTGACTTTATTATTTCGATTGAGATGTTATTCTCTTAAAAATCTCAGTTGCTAACTGAGTCTCATCTCTTCATGTGTGAGGTACCAAACAAGACTGGAGGAGAAGACATATATAATTATTGGAGAAGGTCGAGCTTAATCTCAGGTATGCGGTATGAGCCATTGAATACTGAAAGACTGAGAAAGAAGAGAACAAATCAGGTCCGGGAGATGTTGGTCGACGATACATTGAAAAGACTCTCTAAACTCACATCCAAGGAGATACCCCCCTACCAGTATGAGGGTTGCTGGGTCTATCACTCACATGGTTCAACCATCTGTATAATGTTGACTTGCTTCTTGGAAGGAGATATCTATGATATCCGTCCTTATGTCAAAAAGGTAGGATGCTATAATGGTGAGAATTTTAAGTTGTTATGGGAAATTATTGTTCAGTTCATCTATGATGAAACAGTGGACCTAATCAAGCGAATGAAGAAAGTGGAATGGGGTCTGATGCCAGTAACATATGAGAATGTTCTGATTCCTCCTATCCCTGAAAACTACTGTGATGGGACTAATTGGCTACCAATTATCAGCATGGTACTAAAATGGGAGAGATAATTGGTGGTCATGAGATCTAAAGAGACTTCAGCAGAGGAAATCAAACAGAGAAGGTCGAAATTTGACCGAAGTTCGGGCCCAAGCGAAGAGAAGGTCAAGTGCCTCCCGAGATCACTGAATGCTCTTAGTAAGAGAGAGGTGTTCCCATATGAGGTTGTCAGATATGAGATGGTCGAGAGTGGATGGGAGCAGGAACGATTCTATGTACTGACATTTTATTTCGTAGACCTGGATACGTATGATGTGATAATTTATGTTCCAAAAGAAAGAAGTACTGACGCAGTGTATGGGAGATGCTGGGGACTTGCTGAAGAGGTTATATTGAAAGAGAAAGAGAGACTCGAGAGGGAAAATAAATGCTTCATTGGATCTACTCAATTTACTGTCTTTGAGGGATTTCCAGCTCCTTCCTTACCTGATATTAATTTGTCAAGAGATAATTGGTCTGCAGTGGTTGAGCTTGCACTCAAAGCGGAAAGAGACAAAAGAACCAAATGAGCCAGCTCTACATACCTCCAAGCGAGAAACCCTGGTTTAGACTGGTAAGAGGACATGGGAGGTTGAGTTAGGTACTCCAAGGAAACTTTCTCCTTCGCGTTCTAACCTTCTCTTCCCATCATGCACGATATTCGATGCTCGTTGCAAGCATGAACCTCTTATATACTCTTCAAATTTATGTCTTGGTACGTAGATCCTAACATCAAACTCATCAAGATCATTAAAGTAACTGGTAAAAACATACACACTGTCCTGCTCTCGCCCTGGATTCTTTAGTGCCGCATATCTCACAATCTCATAGGGAATCACGACTCTCCTCGTTATAGAATTAAGGAAATTTAACAGCTTATCCGTGGTATGTGGGAGAAATTGTCAGATTGATGTTATAGCCGCATTGCATGACGGGATAGTCGGAGGACATCGAAGTTTCACGACAACTTACAAAAAGACGATGAAACTCTATTACTGCGAAGGGATGTTTGAAATGACTCGTAAATACTGTGAGTCATGTGTACCCTGTCAAGTACGATCGCCTATCAAGTACAAAGAGCCTCTGCATCCTAGGTACATCAAAGAAGTATGGGTGGTTGTCCACTTGAAACTATTGGCCATGCCACTGGGTCTCGGCGGGTATAACTACATATTTGACGCAAGGGACAATCTTACCGGGTTTGTTGATAGCAGGGTAATTAGGAACAAGACAGGGGCAACACTGGCAGAGTGCATTAAAGAATACTACCTCAGGTATCCATTCGTGTTAGAGTTTACAATGGACAAGGGGTCTTAGTTTACGTGTGGGGAAGTGAAAGGACTGCTGAAAGAGCTGGGAGTAATGGGTAACTACACGACTCGGACTCACCCACAAGCGAATGCGCCAGTTGAAAGAGGCCATAGTACCAACTTGCTAGCCAAGTAGACTAATGGGAAGCCGAATCTCTGGCCTAAATTTCTGAAAACGGTATTCTTTGTGGAGAATATCACTGTCAAAAGAACAACAAGGTATGCATCTGCGACCCTCTGGTATTGTCGGCACACCACATTTTCAATTGAGAGTTCTCTAAGAACATGACGCAGACAAGACTTGGAGAACAATTTGACACTTGAAGAGCTACTGGACCTGAGGGCAAGGCAAATCAGCGCCACATAAGAAAGGATTCAGGAAGCGGTCATAAAAGTGGCGGATAGCCGTGGAAAAGACAAAGAAAGGTGGAACAAATTCCCTAGAGTGAGGGTCGAGCCACTGCAAGTTGGCGAAACGGTATTGCTCTACGACTCTTCTTTGGAAATGCAGTGGTCGCGAAAGCTGGACAAGCGTTGGCTTGAACCTTTCAAAATCAGAAAACGGGGACTTCATGGGACCTATGAATTGGAAGAGATGGATTGGACTCCAAGGAAGGACTAGGTTTCAGGGTCCAGGCTGAAGAAATTCAAGGTCAGAGAAGAGGTGAGCCCGGTTTGATATAACGAACTTGAGTAAGCAGGAAATATGCTTATGTATATATATATCGTCACAAATAGAACTGCCCGGTAAACCGTAGGCAGAGAGAGAGAATATATATATATATATGTATGTATATATATGTGTCTGTATGCCTAAGTATATACAGATACATATATAAATACATATGTATATATATATGTATACGTATATGTATATGTGTGGATATATTGGGATTATATACGTGTATATACATACGTATATATGTATATATATACATACATATGAGTGCAGATAAAAGGGTATCTTGTCAAGCTTGTATTAATTATGAAAAGTGTTGCCTTGATGATGATGACGAATCCTTGTACCTGTCATTGCTTCCTCTCTATGTGCAGGCGTGACCCTTGGGGAGAAGTGGCCATGGCCCAGCGAGGAAGGATGGCAGGGCCCTCTGGACCAACCTTGAGAAAGGGAGGGCAAAGGAGGGATCAAGGAATCTCAAGGAACCTGGAGGAATTACCATTCTACAGAGCAGGGGATAACTTGTGCGTATTTTTGAGGGATTTTGAGGAGTATGCATTTAGGCGAGAGTGGGATGATAAGATACTCTCGAAAGTGACTGGGATGGGGGGATATAAAAAGAAAATTGAAGGAGTGGCAACTGAGTGTTTGAGGTGGAAGACGTGTGTAGTAAAATTGTGGCAGCTCATAGGAAACTTTCCAAGGGGCGAGATTAAGGACGATTTGACATTTGATGGGACAAACCTGGATCAGTTTGTTGACAGCTTACAACTATCTGCAGAAAAGGGTGGATGGAATGACGAGGAAAAGAGAAAGAGGTTGATGAAGAGAACAAAAAAAAGTGAGAGTGAAGAAGTGAAGAGGATTGTTGAGGAAGCTTGCACTTGGCAGGGTATACTAATAAAGCAGCAGATGACATATACCCAGATAAGGCAAGACCAAACAAGAAAGGAAAGGCTACAAGAGAAGGGATTGTGGATTGGAAGGGAGGGGATGAGTTGCAGAGAAAGGCTCAGGAGGAAGGAGAGGAAGAGGATGTGCCCTTGAGGAACCTGAGAAGCAAGTCAATAACTTTTTCCAAGGACAGGAACAGAGGATCTGACCAGGCAATGGAAGAGGAGAAGGAAGAAAAGGAGGCGGCGGTGGACAGAAAAAGGGGCCAGGAAGTGAATAGGGCACCAAAGGCCAAAATGATTGAAGGAAGAAGATCAGTTGAGGATAAAAGGGAAGGAGTGGAGGTGGAGAGAAGTGAGAAGGGAGGGAGAACAAAAAGAATAAGGCAGTGGAAGGGGAAAATGAGGAAGAGAGAAAGGTGGAGTATAGAGGTTCATCTCAGCAAAAAGGGAAAGCAAGAGCAGGGCAGATAAGCAAAGAAGAGAGAGCTCAGAGGGAGAAGAGGAAGAAAGGATGGAGGGACTATATGATTAGAATGCTACAAGATGATGATCTGTCTGTAAACTCCACTTCGGATATGAGGTTCAAGAGGATGCTGCTTTCTGAACTGGTGGTAAGTTCCAAGCACTCCACCAACTTGCACAAACTGATGGGATTGCATGAAATGTTGGATGAGAAGTGCACAAGGCTCTTCGAGGAATATGCTGATGTTGCAAAGAAATTGGGTGAGATGGAGAGGGGAAAGAATGAGAAAGAAATTGGAGAGGACATGGAGGCAGTGGGAAAGGGGCTTCAGGCAGAGCTCAAGGGAAACACTGCGCTCCTTACCCAAAGATTCTTGGACTATATCCCTGGGCTCTTGAAGGAGATGAGCAGGTTAAGAAAGAAGGAAGAGGAAAGGGATGCCCAAGTGACAAGATTGACAGAGGATTTGGAAGGGATGAGAAGGGAAATGGAAGACTTGAAGAAGGAGAAGGAAGAACTGCTAAAACAAGAAACTGCTTTGGAGGTTTCCCTGTCCCAGAAAAGCAAGGAACTGGAAGATGAGGTAGCAGAAAGGGAGAAGATGGAAAAAAAAATTGAGGGTTTGTGCTTTGGGATCAGTGTGCAAGGGGAAGACCTGGAACAAGTGATTACAGAAAGGGAAAAGATGAGTCTGGTATGAGAGAAAAGGTGGGAGGAAGTACTGGAAGGGATAAAAGAGCTCAAACTGAGTCACCAGGAAAGAGAGAAGGAGATCACGAGAGTGGTAGAGTGGAAGAATGAGGGAGGGTTTGAGATCAAGATGGCAGAAGGAGAAAGGAAGGTTCCTCAGTCAAAAGAAGGAGAAGGAAGGATGGGTAAGCAGACCGAGGTTGGAACGGAGGGACCATCCAGCAAAGAGCCACAAGAAGAGCCAAGGGTTGAAGGACCTCCTGCCTCAGAGGAAAATAAGAGTGAATGTGTGGGGTTGCCTCAACAGAGGGGCATCAAGAGGAATGAACAGCCTGGTGTGGAAACATCAGAAGGGGATGGGAGTCAGGCAGAGACTTCAAATCGGCCTCTTGCCAAGAAGACCAGATATAACAAAGCCAGAAGTGGGTGCTTCTTCCGCACGGAAGAAGAACATTTCAGGGATGACTGTGCGATATTGGCCGAATATATTAGGAAAGGGGTGACCAGGTTTGACCTCAGGGAGGATTGGTTGCCAGCAATGGACAGACAATTCTCAGGACGCCCGAGGGTGGCACGGTAGAACGTCGTAGGATGCTGGGGCAAACCGCTGCTTTCTCAGGATAGGAAATAGGTAGGTTGTAAGTTAAGATATTTTGATAAAAGCGGGGAGAACAAATGAGAGAGTAGAGTGTAGTATGGGAAAAGGGCGCAAACTTTTATTCTAGGATTTGGTAAGGGTAGAAGGTTAAAAGTGGGAGGTAGCATAAGGGGAAATGCATAAAACATTTTGGAGTTGAGATGAGAGGTGAGTGGGATGAGTCACATATTGTATCATACTTGTATTTTATACATATACATATGATCAGAAAGGGGGGGAAATGAGTTGGTGACCACAAACACTATTCACATTGTGAGTGTATCATTGTCCATGATTTCAAGTCTTCTTTTGTGGATAAGTATCTCCCTTCGTCTATCACTATTTAGATCCTCTGAGGTCTGGGAATGGTGGTAGAGGAACGGGTGGGTTAGTGGATGGATGGAAGTCGGCAAAAGGATTGAATGACCTGATGCTGAATTGATTACATGTGTATGATTGGAATGTCATGCTATGGTACGGGTAAATACCTCTCATGGGGAAAATATTGTTTTGCCAAATAAATTCGAATGGGATATCTGTTTTGGATGGATCAGACAAACAAAAAGTCAACAAGCTTGATTTCAATTCAAATATTGGTTTTATATATATCAATGACCCCGAGGTGCATGCCTCACCGAACTAAGATCAAAGACTTGGAGGGCACAACCCTGAGTGGCAACCTGACGATAGCTCAATTACTTGGAAATCTCATTTATTTGGTTTATTTTTTAAAGAAGCATCGTTCATCTATCTCAAGGGTTAACCTGAGGGCATAAAATACCAAGCCTATAGTGAAAAATTGACATCGTTGGGACGTAACTCCCAGCATGGGCTGTTGACCTAGCATAACCAGGCAGTGGACCCTTCGACTATGGCCTAGAAGAGAGACTAGAGGGGATGGCCACCCCAGTGAAAGAATTTATTCAGGCAGGAGTCGAAGGGGTTGAGATTAGTCTTGAAATTGTGAATATATTTGAAAAGATAGGCCGAATATCCCATCGTTGCGCAACCAATGAGGGCGACCACCGATAAGCAACAACGCGGTGGGCCGCAGCTCCGGCCTGATCAGCAGGACTGTGGTGGGTCATGATGGGGACCGCTTGTCCTCCTGTATTAGGCTCCGGGCAGGACAGCAGGCAACTTTGGATAGTAATATCAAAAGTTGAGCGCCCAATGTCTCGGTTAGGACCCGCGTTTTAGGGGTTGAGTTCGCACGCGGACGCAGACCCTAAAAAACAACCAACGAATACCTGGGCCAAAGTCTAAGGGTGTGGGAAAGGAAAGGAGTGTTGCCATACTTGACTATTTCATGTACTGTATTACGGATCAAGTATCCCCACTTCAAGTCATTGAATTTATTTTGTAATGTGGGAGACCCGGGTTAAAATCCCGACAGTAATAATGAAAAGTGAGGTGACGACGTCAATCCTGAACCACATTTCATTCCAGGATTCAGAATTGACAATTTGTTTGTCGGAAAACATCTTTTGTTTGTATACAGTTCTTTAGGCGACGGGGACGTCGCTTAATGGGTCTGGAATACTGTCGGGCCAAATACCCTTACAAAGGTATTTGGCCATGATTTTACAGTCTTCACATCGATTGTGCCGACCATCATGATAGAGTGGGTCTAAACTTAGAAGTGCACACGTTTCCTCGACCATTGGGGCAGGGGCGACTCGATGAGAAAATTTTAAGATTATGCGTGCATGTTATTATGACACACGCTGTAATGGTTAGGATCGATGCTAATACCCTTCGACCAGGAAGGTTGAGGGATTGATTAAGTTACTGTTACTGTTATGTTAGAATACATCCATGACACGCAAAATGACAGCGTTGTTCGGTCTCGAGTACCCGACACATCTAACTCCACATGGTGTGGTACCAACTTACCCGCCACTTGAGTGTTTTCCTCGCTGCGACCCTCAATGGGGTGGCCACAGCTAAGTACCGGCCTTTGGGCCTTTCGACCAACTAGGTACCCTTGAGGGTCACATATACACTCGAGTTGACAATCACTCGGACAAGCATGCATACCAGCGATCGCGCGCACACACCGACTTAGAACACGGACTTAGATCATGAGATCAACTAAGCCCGGTACGCTACATATAACTGGGTTGTTCTTTTTTTATTAGAAGGAGGAGCTAGCTTAGTAGGTTTAAGCATGGGATGGTTAAGCTAAGGGTGTAGGGAACAAATCCTCCCCGACCCTTAGCTAGCTCCTTTTGAAGGAGCTTAACGAATATTTTCAACCGTACCCGGTCAGTCGAGGCTCGAATTCGTGACCTTGGTTTCGGGATTCAATAGAGTTAGAGCCTGTTGTGACAGTCGGCACAACGAGGTAGTTAGTAGTTAGATTCTCTTTGTGTTTTTTTTTTTTTTTTTTTTTTTTTCTTTTATTGTTATTTGTCAGAATCTTATTCATTATTTGGGCACCGTGGTCTATCTCCGCAGCATCGCCTTTCGTGAATCTGCCTCCCATTCAGGACAGATTCAACCGAAGGAAACACGGACCACATCTCGGGAAAGAAGAAACCGTGAAGGCGACAAGGGGCAAACACGGGCATTCGCGAAGGCGCGGGCAAGCGCAAGCGCAAGCGCGGCAGACAACACTGTCAAGAGGAGTGACACGTGGGCAAAGACAAGGCAAGAGCACGTTAAGGGGACAACACGGAGTGGATAGCGAGCAGAAGATACAGCGCAAGGGAGGACGAGAAAGAGAGGTGCATGAAGAAGAAGAAGAAGGGGGAGGAGGAAAAGAAGAAGAGGAAAGGTAGGCAAGAGGAAGGGAAACGACTTACCTCCCCTTGCAGTCGATGACGACGATGTTCCGGGCGTGGGTTTCGGGACTTTGTTCGTGAGTTACGAAGGGGGGGGAGTTCCAGTTCACTCGTCACTAGCGGTAGTCACGACTGTCGAGAATTCCCTATACTATGGTATTGGGTTGGAGATCGTTGCGAATCACCCTCGCTTGTTTTCTTGCGGTGAGTGGCGCCTGATCACCGACGGCGGCCTGATTGGCAATCATTTGCAGGTGGTAGAGGCGGAGGTGCCTGTCATCGGCTCTCGGCTTCGGCACCCTCATCCCGTAGGCATCGGAGAGAACGGCCGCAACTTTGTTGGGGTGTTGTCTTCGTGCTCGCACTCACGAGCGGAGTATTCCGTTGGCTTTGGAAGGTGTTGATACTTGATAAGGAGACTCTTCTCTCCTTGTCTTCCGAGTGGCGTCACGGAGGGACGCGCCGAGCAATAGGTAAGTCTTCGACCCCGCTACTATACTCGCCGTAGCAAGAGCAAAAGTCAAACGAATCTACCGCTACAACGTAGAAGTATACACTACTACATGGGGGTGTGAGAAAACGTACGCATGCATGTGTATGTATGAGTGTGTGTGCGTGTGTGTGGGTGTGTATGCGTATACACGAGTGTACGTGTGCACATATGTGAGAGAGAGAGAGAGGGAGAAGATGGCCGCACTGAGGAGGAAAAGCGAGCGCGTGTCAAGGTGGGAGATAAGAGCGTGAGCAGGGGTGGATGCGAAAAAAGGAGGAGATGATTGTGCGGTGGTAGCGTAGAGAGAAAAGGGAAAGAACAAAGGAGGAGAATAAAAAGTAGGAGAGGGAAAGCGAGGAAATGCCTTACCTAGTCCAGTGATCATCGTTATAGGCTCTGTTTACATCCGGATCAAACTGGAAAGGTAGCATGTATACATCATTTTTTGTTATTATTATTCTATTATTATTCTTATTTGGTTCGACATTCTTATTATTATTTTTAATGATTATTTCATTTGATTCCCATTTATACTTTAAGTTTTCTTTTATTATTTTATCATTACACTTAGACGTGACTGTGATCAAGAATGCATAACCCGGACTACAGTACAATGTGGAGTAGTCACTGGTGGTCGATGAAAAGCAAGAGGTGTCAGGAATGAAAGGTGACAAGCGAGAAAGCTGGTTGGTGGAAGTAGGAAGAACGCAACCGTGCGGAAGGAGGAGGTGTGAGCAGGAAGAGAGGAAGCAATGTGCAAGAGAAAGAAGAAGAGGAAAGGAGGAGAAGAGGAAGAAAAAGGAGAAGAAAAAGAAGAAGAAGAAGAAGAAGAAGAAGAAGAAGAATAAGAAGAAGGAGGAGCAGACAGCCATAACCAAGCTGCGCTGCTTTATGTTGGATGAGGCGTGTGGTGGTTCTAGGGTGCATGTGGCATCTGTGAGTTGGGGATCGAGGTTGCGAGTGTGCGAGAGACATACCTAGTGTTGGAAGCGTGCGCCATTAGCCACTATCTGCTCGTACTTCGGGAGGACTGTTGTCGTAATCTTCGGCATTATAGAGTAGGCTAGATAGGATCTGCCATGTGTTGTCTGGGCGCAGAGCGCCAGACATGATGTCGACATTGGTTCTTTGGTGATGATGATG